CAAAAAAAAAAAAAAAAAAAAAAAAAAAAAAATTTCAAGACGAAGGAAAAAAAGGTACGAATAGTCCACCCTTTTCTTTCTTCCTTCCCTTCCCTCTTGTCCATCCTATCGTCAATCGTTCACCAATAAGCAGATTCGTTTTACTCTCGATGCTTCATCTTATACACTCGACAGTCGCACAAAATTGTCTCACTTCACGCACTTATCTTCTTAATTGTATGTAGTACTTAGAACCTTACTTCAGCTACGAATTGAAGAGAGCCTTGGACAAATGCAAAGAAAAAAAAGGAGAAAAGGCCATTCATGGCCTTGGCAATTGGTTCGCCGAGCTTATGCACTTGTTTACTATGACAGGCCATTCATGTGGAGCCCGTTCATTGTCCGTCGTAAATGTAAATGCGCGCTTATTCGTTAATAGCCAATTAATAATACACATCTGAAATTTATTCCTTCGCTCAACGAACATCGTGATCGTTATATTATTCACAATGCCCTTTGCCATCGATAATTAAATTTACCTATTTATTTCAACGACAACGTTATTTAGAATCCGATTACCACGTGGCTGACTCACTATCGAATACTATCTATCGGCACTCATCGAAGCATCCATACAATTATTCGGCTCGATCTTTCAGTCAATCTCTTAGTCGACCGAACGCTGCAATTTCAACGAGACGCGAATTGAATAAGCCTCGTTAAAAATAGAGAAAATCCGAGCTAAACGAGTTTTAATAAGATGGGTAATAAGACTTTTTATCGTAGCTAAACATTTTCGAAATCATCAATCTATTTCGCCTACTATAAGCGAATAAGTCGATCAATGTACGTGCAAATGTCGGTATTACGATCGCAAATTTATCATTAAGTTCATCAAAACATTTTCATCGGGAAAGGCTAGCATGTTTTTCCCAAACCTCACACAATACAAGAATATAGGAGACGATGCTTTTCCAAAAAATTTCAGAGCCTCTCACGGATCACGCCATTTATAGTGCAACAAACCGTCAAACGTCTCTAGAGCCCCCTCTCCCCCACCACATCCATTCACTCAACTCGCACGCATGAACACACGCACACATAGCTTTATCCTCCTATTATTCTATCATTCCTCTCCTGTTCTGCGCGCTTCGACTTTCCACGGCTTACTTATTATTATAGTCGAGGAAAAATGGCAACTTTTTTCGTTCGCTCTCGCGATGTCGTCCGTCGTTTTTCCGGCGTCGTACAAAGTAGCAACGCGTGCGGTATAGAAAGTCGCGCTTGGGACCGCTAGACCTTACATTTACACGTATGCATATGCTGTACTTGTAGGTCACTTTCCTTCTCCCATCAATTTTCCCACCGTACGTACGTCTTGTTCGCGCTGACCCCGGGATCGTGGAAAACTTGGTCGAGGGAACATAGGCCGCGCGCACCTTATCCTCAGACTGTCCAGGTACTTTTCCATTTCCTTCCGTTAAAGGAACTTTTAACGAAATGCTCTAGCTCAACGTTTTGTGTCCCTCTTCTTTCTTTCTTTCTTTATTTTAAAAAATTATATTTTTTACTTCTTAAGA